ATAATTTTTAGCTTTATATCTTATTTATTTAGCTCTATATAAATTTTTAAAAAGTGTCCACAATAATATAGTACCCCTCTGTGGTTTAGATAGTAGTATATAATTTTTACAAGCTCAATATAGGCTTATAATTATGACTATTTAATATGAATAAAAATTATATATTTTTTTGTATATTTTTCTATATTTCTATATTTTTTCTTTTTATATAGTTTTTTTTTTTATTTTTTTATAAAAGATATTATTAAATTAGCAATATCTTATTATAAAATAGTGGTCAGACTGTAACAAAAACTATTAAGTACATCTATTATTGAGTTAATGAATAGATGTAGTAATACTATTTTCAAGCACATTTCGGCTACGCCTTATTTGCTTTCAGAATGCTATTCTAAAAGCAAATTTTAGCTATCGCCTCATTTGCTTTTGAATAATATATCACACCTATTCATAGTATTAAAGTCTCAAATATAGATGAAAAGTTTAATATATCTAAAATTGTTATTGATAATAACAATTTTCATAAAATATATAATATTTCTTCTTATTTATAAAATACTGTATTATATAATAATAAGAGTTTATATTTTAGAGAATAGTTTTTATATTATTTATATTGTTATTGTATAAAATAATTATTTATTTATATTATAAAATTAAAATAACAATATAATTGATGATTAACAAATACAAATATATGTATTATAAAATTAAAATAACAATATAATTAATAATTAACAAATATATATATTATAAAATTAAAATAACAATATAATTAATAATCAATAAATATACATATTATAAAATTAAAATAATAATATAATTGATGATCAACAAATATATGTATTATAAAATTAAAATAATAATAATAATTATCAACAAATATATATATTATAAAATTAAAATAACAATATAATTAGTAATCAACAAATATACGTATTATAAAATTAAAATAATAATATAATTAATAATCAACAAATATATATATTATAAAATTTTAAAATAAACAATATACAATAACAATATATTAATGATCAACAATTATATTGTTATTTTATGTAATATTTTAAAAAAATTTAGTAAAAAACTCAAAAATCAGCATGTAAAAATTTTAAATATACAAAAAAAACTCAACCAATCAGAATTAAATTTGTAATAAACAATTTTTGTTTACATAATTTTGATAATCTATAAAAAAAAATTTTTTGTTTGTTTATTTTTATCTCTCTTTTTTTTGTTTTGTTTTTTTGTTAAAAAAATTAGTATATTTTGGTTTTTTTATTTTTTCTTTTTCTATGATTAAAAAAATCCGTGGTAGTCTAAAATACACCAACTCCAACTACTTAACAAAAAAATAGTTTGTAATATTTCTTTCTCTATTGCTAACTATTTTTTGTTACTTGTATTAGTAACATTATTTTAATGTTTTTTCTTTTTTTTGGCCGGTTTTTTTGGTGTTTCAGACTATGAGAATATTTTTTTCTTTTATGTTTTTTGTTTTTTAAAACAAAATACTAACTTTTTTCTTTTTTTAATATATTTAGAACGTGTCGATATTAAGATTTAATAATAATTTTTAACAAAAAATTTATTTTTTTGTTTTTTTTTGTTTTTTGTAAAAATTTTTGTTTTTTTTTGTTAAAAAAGTTAGTATTTTGTTTTTTTATTTTTTTTATAATAACTAAATGATTAGCATACTAGTTAAAGAGTAAGAACTTGGTGTTTTCTCATTTAGATAACTGGGGCCTAATCTATTAAACACACAGATAGTATCTTTGTGAATAACCAGTTTGGTACTATTCGCCATAATATACGTGCAACAATTTTTAAGTTCTTAACTAATGATAGGGTTTATTTTTTATTATATTTTTTTTTTGTTTGCAAACAATTTTAATAGCTATTTTTTTTTTACTTTTTTTTAGAATAGATTTGGAAAAAAATATCAATATAGTAATTTTTTCACTTCTCAAAATAAAGAAAAAATAAAAGAAAAGCTGAAAGAAACTCTTTGTCAAGATTGCAATAAACTAAAAGATAATTGTAAAGGTGTATTTAAAAAATATAACAAGAGTTTATCTCTTATTGAAAATATAGTAAAACTTCAAAAAGAAGTTGATGAAACAAATAGCGAATATTTTAAATTAAACAAAAAATATATCACTTTAAAAAAAAAATATAAGCCTCTCGATGATTAATTTTTTTTTTTAAAAAAATTATTTTTTTTAATTAGTTTTTTTTATATTTTTTTATTTTTATTTTTTATGAAAATATATTTTTTTTATAAAATGTCTTTTTTTTGTTTTTTTTTGTTTTTATTTTTAATAAAATTATATTTTTAAAAATTTTTTTTATATAACAAAGTTAAAAAAATAAAATTTTGCAATTTAAGTACTAACAAAATACTTTAATAAAATAGTTTTCTTAATTTTATTTTATACTTAATCAACCCTCCTAGAGCTTTCCATACTTGGGAAGCAACTGCAAAACCCTGTTTTGCAGAATGCACTGCATAGTCACCAAGATGACTA